TGTCAAGCTGGGTTGTTTCTGTCTGTGGAGGTGCCTCTTAAAAAATAGCACAAAGACATTATACAGACTAACAGCAGTCCAGGTTTTGTACTTTCTCTTCACAGTACTTCACAGTTGTAGTTTTACCTTTCTCTGAGTGAATATTTGGTTAATGTTTATTTCCCCCACTACACAGCAAGCTGTGTAGGACACTGTCTAGTTTTATTTATTATCAAGTATTTCCAGCACCTAGAACAGGGCCTGGCACACAGTGGTGGTCGTGGTGGTTTGGTCTTTAAGTCGTGTCCAACTCTTGTGACCACATGGACTGTAGCCCGCCAGGCTCCTCTGTCCATGGGATTCTCCAGGCAAGCATACTAGAGTGGGTTGCCATTTCCTTCTCCAGGGTATCTTCCCGACCCAGGAATCGAACCCAGGTCTCCTGCATTGCAGGCAGATTCTTTACAGACTGAGCTATAAGGGAGCACTCAGCAAATATTTCTGAAATGCATGAGACATTTTTCATTGTTGGAAGACTAGGTAGATCCTCTTATTTTCCCTTTTCCCCTCCTCCACTCTCCCCCACAATTACCACACTGCTTTGCACATAAATGACATTCAGTAAATTCCTCCTGATTGACTTTAAAATGTTCAAAGAAGCCATATGATGTTTTTTTCCTAGAAAAGTGGATCTGCAAGCATCTGATTACACACTGCCTGAGCGATGATGAACAGCTGCTATTTATGAAGCAGAAGAGACAAAAAATGTTGAATGAATGAGAAATAGACTTCGATTGAAATGGTAAGGATTTAATTTAGCTTTTGAAATTCATTTCCTGATATGAAGCTTACAAAATACTAAAAGGCAACAAAAAAGGAGGCTGTGAAAAAATTTCATTCTTTATAAATAATCTTTGAATGTTTTCCAAAATAGATCAAGTACTTATTTGAAGGTTAACGGGTATTTCTGACCTGAGTTCTCAACAGTCTACTATGAGACAGATTTCTTTTTTTAAAATAAGGTTTTTCATAGGGGATAATTTTACAGAAAAGTTGGAAAGTTTTTCTCATTGACATCTTACATTAACACGGTACACTTTCCAAAATTAAGAAATTGGAACACATAATTACTAACAAAACTTCAAACTTCATTTGAATTTCCTGTTTCTCCAGTTACCTCCTCTTTCTGACCCAAGTGAGACAGCCTTCTCATATTCTTCAGTGGTGTGTAAAAGATTGTGTGTTCTAGATATCAAGCTCTCTAAGTAGAAATACACATATCTAGAGTTGCCTGGGGTCGTTCATCTTGAGGCAGAAGTACTTTCCAATCAACCAGACTTGATTAGGATCTGTAGCTCTATCACTTGGAAGAGGCATGTACTTGTGGGCAACTTGTTTAATTATAATTACACTGAACTATTCTTTCCCTGGGGTTTCCCTGGTGGTTCAGAGGGAAAGAACCTGTCTGCAATTTAGGAGACCCGGGTTTGACCCCTAGGTTGGGAAGATCCCCTGGAGAAGGGAATGGCTACCCACTCCATTATTCTTGCCTGGAGAGTTTCATGGGCAGAGTAACCTGGCGAGCTACAGTCCATGGGCTTGCAAAGAATCAGACATGAATGAGCAATTCATGAGCATGTGTGTGCTCTACACATCTGTTTTGTTTTTGGCCACCGCACGGCTTCCTGGATCTTTGTTCCCAGACCAGGGACTGAATCCAGGGCCCTCAGCAGATTGGAGTCCTAGCCACTGGATCACCAGGGAATTACCTCCACATTTGTAAAATGTAGGTAGTAAGACCTCTCCAACTGTGATGGTTTCTGAAATCTTTCACAGTAAGAAAATTCAGTATTGAAAAACTTGCTTTTAATAGGTAATTAGTCTTTTGCATTTATTAAACTAATATCAGAAGAATAGCACTCTAAATAGCATACCTGTGATATTTTATATGTTGAATTAGAAGAGGGTTCAGAGGAGCCTAACTAAAGACTCTTTAATTAAACATTAATCAGGCTCCTCTGAGCCCTGTCCTCAACTAGACCTTATCCTAGGACTTCCCTAATTCAGTTTTCGCAAGAATTCTGCTAAGTTGGTTTAGAAAGAATTATCCAGGTTTGATATCTGATAACCCTGGTGAGCTGGATTAGGAAGAATCCCCCTACTCTTGATGTCTCCTTTAGCAAATCTCCATCCACCAACTTCTCTGTAGGGGAGGAAAGACTTTCCTTCTAACCTTCTAGGTTTGATAGTTATGCCTAAGAAACAAACTAAAGCAAGCAAGTTACCAAAATAAAAGGTATATAAATTTATTATTTTTTAATAACACATGCACAGGGGCATCGTGGGGGGAAAATTGAATATCTAAAAAAGCAGTGATCTTTGAGAGTTTATAACAATCTCAGTAGGGGAAAGGGGAAGGGAGGTGTATGCTACTTGGGCAAGAGTAATGTTTTAGAAAGATGAATGGGCTCAGAATAGAGGGGAGGTAATGATAGTGTGTTGCAAAATTTCTCTGGGTGTGGTGTTGAGTCCTGACTTCTAGTCTCTTCTTTGGTGACTAGAGTCAATCTTCCCTGATTGCTGAAATTCCTAGGGAGGGAATTTGTGACAGTTAGTTCCTTTTGGAGGACTGTCTTTAGGCAGACAAGTGGAGCTTGGAGAAGTCTTTTTTTCAAAGTGTCTTCACCTCAGAATTATTACTTCTCTGGTGGTGCAGTGGCTAAAACTCCAAGCCCCCAATGCCGGGGCCTGGGGTTCAATCCCTGTTTGGAGAATTAGATACCATATGCCCCAACTAGTTCGCAGGCACCACGAAGACTGAAGGTCCTGCATGTCAAGACCAAGACTCAGCGCAGTCAAATAAATATATATTTATATATGAATGTTAAAAAATATACCAAAGCAACATATTGCAAGTGACATGTCTAACTCCTTCACCCCCTACTCTTCTCCTTGGTTATAAATCCCCACCTACCCTTGCTGTATTCAGAGTTGAGCCCTCTCTCTTTCTTACTTTGACAGTCGACATTTATCATGATAGTACTGAATAAAGTTCCTGTTTTAACAAGCGTCAGAATAACTTTTTAACATTAGCGACAATGACTATTAACTAATTTCTATTTATTAACTCTGATTCATTGGACAAACCTTTAAAAATATCCCTCCAAGTTTTAACAAAACTCTTTAAAAATATTTTTGTTTTGTTATGGGTATCATGAATGCTGAAAGACATTTTCCCTCCATATGTGTCCTTTATCCAAATGAAAGGGACAGAGCAAAGGGACAAAGTAGGTGATTAAATAGCTAATCCCACTAGGGGATTGTAAGTAGGAAAAAATACGGGAGACCCCACAAATTAATGATTACTCAGGAAAGCACATTTACTTAACCACAAAACCAAGCAGGCTTGCGTAGCAACAAAACCATGCACTAGAAGCACAATGCATGACCCCAAACAATAAAACAATGGTGGCGTGAGGCCGAAATCCTGTGCAGTTAGCTCAATAGGTTAATGATCCTTAGGACATATTCTGCACACATAAAAAACAGTAACTCTGAACCTAGCTTGACCATGTAAGGACAAGAAAACTTGCCTGTCCGACCTGGAGGAGGAACTGATGGAAGCATGAGGTCTACTCAAGAAAGACAAAGAAGGTCTTTTCCTCCTCCCCTCTCTTCCTCTGACTATAAAAATGTAACCCATGAAGTACTCAGGGCAGAGCACCCCCTCGCCCACCTGCTTGTAAACATCACAAGCATCCTATTCTAACAAATCATTTACTGATCACTTTGCCTCTCACTAAATTCTTCCTGTGCTGAGACATAAAGGACTGCGGTACTGAGCTCTTTGGATCCCCCTGAAACGACACCATTGAGTTTCACAGCACTTCTTAAATTTTATGAGTAGAAGTTGATTCCCACTTCCCAGCTCCCACTGATCCCAGATACAAAGAGCAATTTGGATTGGAATTGCTTTAGTTGATTACCCTTTTATTTGTAGGACTGTATTTCACAAACATCCTTCTCAACAGATAAATGGGGTATGTTTGTCTCTGCCCATGAACATGTCAAACAAGGCACATCTTATTTCTCAGTAAAGACTCCATACTTACTAGTCTCATCTCTCTCTCACCAACTAACTGATTAGTAGTGCCTGGGCACATTAGGAGTTCAACAAGTAAGTGCAAGTACTATACTAAATCCAAACTTTTTTTTTCAGCTTGCTTAATTTTTCTTGAATCTTCATTACAAAAATATCTAAATTCTGCCCTGCCTCTGCCTTACCTTTCTAATTCTCAAGAGTTCTCTCCTTGTCTCCGAAAGAAGTGACTTGCAATCTGCAGTATGTTAAGGCATCATACAGAAGTGGGTCAAGGACACTAGAATTTTATGGATGGGGCATTCTTCTACTGTTTATCTAACAGATTATGTAATGAGATCTAGAACACACAAAAAAGTAGATCCTATCCAGTAGTACTCAAGAAATGTTAGGTCCCTTCTTTTATCGTCATTTTTACAGATGAGGACAATACGGCCAGAAATGTAAGTAGTCACAGCTAAGTTCCCAAAGAGGCAGATAAGAGGGAGCTGCCTTTTATTTCTTACCAAGAGGCTCACCAATGCACTTAGCATCTGTCAAGAGCCCAGACATAACACAAACATTTTTGTAAAACATCACAGTTTTTGTTGACTTCTCCTATAATTTGTCAAAATCATGCCCCAAAAAATAATTGTCCGTAATTTAAGTCTCTCAGCCTCATACATACTTGGAGGTGAACATTGCTTTTCAGGCCTTGGCATTTTTCAGGGCCGTTAACATTCTTTAAGAACTAAAGGAAGCACTTTGGAATGTAATTTAAAGGAGTCTAGAATTATAATTTTAGGGTATTCCTACTTAAGCCCTATCCAATATTGGCACTAACTGGACGAGGATAACCATTCCTTGCGATCAATATTCACTAGAATAAGTATTCATCAAGAAATCAGGACGCACTCAGGGGATGACGATTGGGTGGTGCCTTGAGATCCATCCTTGGCCACGGACACCCAATGGAAGACTACCTGGTTGGAAAACAAGATTTCCAAGAGGAGGGGCTTGGAGGAGGCGGGCCCGGACAACCAAGCGCGAGCACACGCCCCAGCGCATGCGCACCTGTTAGCGGGCACCTTCCATTCGCCTGGCAGGGGAGGCAGGCGCGAGGCTCTCTACAGTTTTTGAATTTCTGTTCTCAACCGCAAGTGAGATGGTGACCAGTTCCGCGCATAACGTGACAGCGTTACTCCTCGAGTTCAAGATGAAGAACACTCGGCACAGACGCCTGAACCGTGAGGCGACTTCTCGTCTGGTTCCCCCCGTCCCCCGGGACCCGAGTCGGCCCGTCCATTCCACAGACTTTCGAGTCCTCGCAGCGGGGTCGGGGGATCGAAGGATTGGGCCAATTGCGGCTGAACCGTCTCTGGAAGGAGGAAGGGGGTGAGGGGGCAACCCTTCTTCAGAGTTCCGCCTTTCCTTTTACAGGGCTGTCGCGGGGAAGGGGGACGTTGGAAATAACTGCCCTCGGAAGCCGACGGATCCCACACCCGCTCCGTGCAAACTGCCGGGAGGGCGGCGGGAAGAGGGCAAGACGGGAGCGGGGACAGGGAAGGACCCGGGAAGCCGCGCGGGAGGGCGCGCGCGCGCGCGCCCCTTTTTCAGCAGTGTGGCGGGGTCGCACGCACGCCCGCCTCGGCGGCTGGGCGCGGTTTGCGACAGTGGGGGGAGCGGCGGCGGTGGCGGCGGCGGCAGCTTTGCGGCAAGCTCCGGCCGGGCTTGCTTGACGGCGGTGTGGCGGAGGCCCCGCCCCCGGCGGCAGGAACCTGGAGGGAGGCGGAGGAATATGTCCGAGAGGGAAGTGTCGACAGTGCCGGCGGGAACAGACATGCCTGCGGCCAAGAAGCAGAAGCTGAGCAGCGACGAGAATAGCAACCCGGACCTCTCTGGAGACGAGAATGTGAGCGCAGTCCCCCGGGGCAGTCCGGACGGGACTTGGCCGTCAAAGTTTTCAATTCTTTTTAAACTGTGGGCGCGGGGGCGGGCGGGCGGCTGTGGTAAGGTGGGGTGGGGGGAGGGAGAGGTGTCACCGCTCTGCTGAGGAAAACGCGGGCGTGGAGGAGAAAATCGAACTCATCTCTAAGGGGATTTTTTGAGCTGGGGCGCCGAGAGCGAAAGGAAACTTCGCGAAGGAGAGTGTGGTTGGGACCAGAGCGTGGTGGCGGAGGGTCGGAGGGGGTCTGCCCTGAGAGCGTTTTGTGTGGAGGAGGAGAGTTTGGGCCTTTAGGGGGAAAGTGCAGATCTGAGATTCCAGTAGTTTAAAAGGCAAGTTAGAGGTGTTTTTTTTTTTTCCCCTAAGACAGTTGGAAGGAGGGGCCAGCGTGTTACGGACTTTTAAAAAAGGGATTTAGGGACCGTGTCCTCCTTAGACCCTTCCTGGCCGTCCAGGATGGGAAGAGTAGATCTCCGACGTCAGGGATTTCGGTGACTCTCTTAAAGGGGCTTTTGTGTTTGCTCCTGTGTCGTCTGTGGAGAAGGGGTGCGCCTGACAGTCGGCCTCACTTCTGGAGGAGGAGAGCTGCGAGAGTCGTCTCCAGAGTCGGAGGGGGAGCGACTCTTGAGGAAGGAATAAGGGACAGTTAGTCTTCCGTCGGTTTTCACTAGGATAACGGGGACAACCTGGAAGACACTAGGCAACGGTGGTAAAAGTAGATGGCTTTAGGTGTAGGCTTGTGGTCTCGCATGTGTAAAGGTGCTCTGGAATCAGATTTTTTTTTAAACTTTTTAAAAAATAGTCATAACTCTAGTCCGTCCCAACAGTTGATCCCACTGTGTTTAGGTGAGACGCCAGTGACAACCGAACTAACCTTAATTTTCCGTTTCACATTTTAAGTTTATATGCAATAAGTTCAGGAAAAAATGTCTCGACGGTTCATTCGGAGATGATACTCTAAAATGTGAACCCTCCGAGGGAATGTCTTCTCAAGTATTATAGAAGGATGGTGTGAGTTCTTTTTCTCAGTTTGCCTAGTTTTAAGAATAAATGGTGTATCTTACACACCGACTGAAGCACATGTGTGGCATGGTATCAGCTGAACAGATGGGAAAGACTTCTCTTTGCAGATAGAGGAAAGATATTTGGGGGGTTGTCAGTTTGTGGGATTTGGACTTGAATAATCTGAAAGGCTTAGTAGGTGTTGATTGTTACTTTAAATCTTTTATTTTCTTGTTTGTGCTTTCCAGTCTTATTATATATTAGGATCTAACACTTTTGACCCTCTTCACTCCAGCCATTGGAATCTATTTCCACCTTCTCTTAAATTTCTCTTGGCAGATTAGATTAGTGACTAGGAGCACAACCTGGTTCCAGGTGTTAGATTAAAATTCGCCACTCTACTGCTTTACCGGTTGCTTGTTCTAGGTACTTTATCTAGTTTCCTTGGATTTTTATCTTAAAAATGGGGATAATAACGGTATTTACCTCATGGGCTGTTTGTGAGGATTAAATGAGATAATGTAGGTAAAGTGCTGAACCAAATGCCCCATTCATAAATACCATGGTATTTATTTAATTATTACTCCTTATTTTGTTATCACATTATCTAGACTTGTGTTTCTGGTCCTTCCAGATATTTATCAGGCAGAAATGTAATGAAGATGTCAATACCCAATTTAGAATGAGGAAAATTTCAGGGAACTAAATAAATTGAAAGGTTATTTTGTTTTTACAGATTCTTAAGAGGAATGTATTCTTTGATGCATATTGAAAGCAGAGCTACATGGTTGGACTAAGCCTTTGTTTTGGTTCCTTCCTTTAGATGGCGACTTTTAACCTTTTCTCTGCCTTGGACACTTTAATGAATCCTGTGAAACTTCAGAGTAACGTTTTCAAATGTATAAAATACAATATGTAAGATTACAAACAAAATCAATGATAAAATTATAAGAAAGTTATAAAATTGTTTAAAACAAACTTCAGGTTTGTTTTAATAAAGTACTTTTTTATTACATTAAGTAACTAGACCTCACAATGACTGATAGTACTGATGGGTATAGACAGCTTTTGAGATCTGCAACAACTGTAATGGAATGTAAAAATTCTTGATTTCCTTTGCTGAGAAGGTTACAGCTACACTAACATTAGCACGTATACTGCCTGTATTATAATAGAAGGAAGTAATAGATTTTAGTTAAAAATGTGAAAACTAAGATGCAATCTTAAATTTATTTATGAATTTATTCAACTGCATAAATTCACAGGCCCTCTGAATTCCATCCAGGGACCCAGATCTAGGACATAGGTTAAGAGAAGCAGTAAAGGAAGGGAGTAGAGAACTCTGTATAAAAATGAATTCAGAAAAAGCTAATAGGGCAGTGGTTTAACTTTTGAGGGAGCCAAATAATGACAGGAAGGCCAAAGGCAAGTGGAGGAAAGAATGTGGTATTTGTAAATTGGAGTTAGGGTAATCTCAGCAGTTGATATTGTTAAAGTGAATCAAAGAACTGATAGGACGTTAAACTTTTCAAATTTAGATATAATTGAGTAATAACATTATGTTATTAGTTGTAGGTGCACAACATAATAATTCAGTATTTGCATTGCAGAATGATCAGCACAGTAAGTGTAGTTAATATCTGACCTATTTTAAGTTCATTGTGTATGTATCTGCCATTTTATTAACTTTTTCATATAAGTGCAGCATAATTGGCCTCTGAAAGAATACTGATTGTTGCCTGGTAGTAAGATCAGAAGGCTGAATCTGAAGACTTGACTTTTGCTTAAGGAACCTGTGGCAAGATCAAGGAACAAATTGCTATCCCCGTTTCCTTGTTGAGCAAATGAAGGTGGTAGTGCCATGTCTGTTACACAGTACCATTCTGTACTTTGAGGAGGAGTCAAGGTGAAAATCAGCTTGTGCACATACTAGATGCTCAGGAAAGGTTTGAATTTACAAATAAAATGAAAGCACTGTGAGTGTATTGCATTTCAATTTGATTCTATCTTTATTTGCCTATTTGAGGAGATGGGTAAATTAAATGGATAAAAGGTGTGTGTGTAAATTAAATGGTTAAAAGGGGTGTGTTTGTGTGTGTGTGTAATGTGCCGCAGTTATTTACTATGTTTTGTGTGGCTTATTGATTAGCAGTTGAATTTTTAGCCAGAGTGGAAAGAAGCTGGTGAATAAATGTGTAACCATTGTATTGTTTCATTTCTCAAGTGTTAAAAGATAATTTTCAGAAACATTTTATTTTACTCATGTAAGGGAACTGGTGAAGTTTAAGTCACACAGTACAGACTATACAGATGAAAGGAATGTAGAGATGAAATGGCAAATGGAGACAAAAACTTTTCTTCAGAATGAAAGGGAAGACATATTGAACCTCTGCCTTTGGCTGTCCACAGTGTAAGAGATGTTAAGATTGTTCAAAGGCAGTGAAGCAGACTAGAATCTGATAACATGGAAGAAGAGTGTGCGGTAGACATGAAGTTTTCCAGTGAAACACAAAATTGTTTTCTACATTAGATTTTAACTGTGTAAATTCAACTGAAAGGAAGAAATGGAGATTTAAAAGCAGTGATTTCAACCTAGGAACTGAACTCAATAAATATAGTTTTGTATTTTATGTATCTAAAAGCTGATTGTGTTTACATTAAGTTACAGTCTAGATATTGAGCACTACCGTGTGCCATCTATCCACTCCATTCCCTTTTTCCTGTTATAGTGTTAGAATAATTTGTGTACTTTTTGAAAGCATTTCATTTTGGCATGAACCATTTGAAGTTTTGGAAGCCACCCCTAAGAACTACCATATAATACCTTACAGGTTTTAAGCAAATTAATGTGAATTTTTAATATACTTTTTTATATTCTAGTGAATTTTTAACATTCTGTAATATCGTAAAACTAACTTTAGGAAGCAATAATTTAAAAATAGCCCCTAGGGTGATGGTTTCTAGTCTGTGTTCTCATAGATGTTAGTGGCACTCCATGAAAAAAGCTTCCTCTGGAATGGATTTAGTAGCTACTGCCCTAAGGTGATACAGGTTTAAATAAATCTCTTTATTCCAAAGAACACTTTGGAATGTGTATTGGAAGAGGTAGTGAAATCCTCTTCTGAGAGTAGAGGACCATTCATATATCTTGTGGACAGGAGACAGGATATAAATTAGGTGAATTTTAAAGGTTTCTAGTCACTTCTACATTTGGAAAGATTTTACTTTTTTTTTTTTTTACTTTATAGTGAGCTTCTGGAGCTCTGAATCATGAGTATTTTAGAGCCATGAGTCAGATTTCACTGGTAAATAGCACATAATATGTAGAACCTAAAAAAAATTTTAAATGGTTTAAGTGTTATAAATAAGCAGAGTTTGAATGATAATCAGGATTTTCATCTAAAATAGGAAGTACTAACACACTGGCCTCAAACAACCACCCCTTGCCATACTCCAAACTGAGCAGCAAGCAGTCAGACTGAGGACATGTAGGTCAGTCAGATTGAGGAGTCAAATCTGGTTTTCAAATCCAGAAGCTCTGGTTTTCAATCCCAGCAACCAACCAGCAAGACACCACCTTAGGCTCTCTAAGCAACATTTTCTTATCTAACAGTACCTTGTATGAAGAGCAGTAAAGATGAAATGAGGCAGTATAGTGTCATGGCTGGCACAAACCAGTGCCTTGTTATTTAAAGGCAGTATTATTACCATTAGCATCATCAGGATTCGTTTTTTGTGTACATTTTTGCTGAAATAGCAAATATCCACAAATCCTAATGCATTTGCAGGAATACATTTTTTTCATTTCTTGCAGGATTTCTTAATTACTTCTTTTAGGCTGGTCAGCAGCTTTCCAGTTTGAAGTCATTTCTTAAGTACAGTATTGCTGTTTCATATAGTTTTTTCTGATTTGCTGCTTATAGGATGATGCTGTCAGTATAGAAAGCGGTACCAACACAGAACGCCCTGATACACCTACAAATACGCCAAATGCACCTGGAAGGAAGAGTTGGGGGAAGGGAAAATGGAAATCAAAGAAATGCAAATATTCTTTCAAATGTGTAAATAGTCTCAAGGTATGTAGAAAGACACAATCTGTGGGCTGAATGCAGGGTTCCAGAATTGCAGGGTTCTCAATAGTAAACATTTTATGCTCAAGGTTCTCTGTCAAGTTAAAAATATTTTAAAATTATAATAATTGGAAGGCTTTGTTGTAGGGCAGACTACATAATTATAATCCGTTCCACATTTGTTTAGCTTTTTTTGTTTGTTTTAAATGGGTAGTACCTAGTATTAGTATTGCATCTGGTTTTTCTTTATTGTTTTTATTGATTTCCAGAAATGTTACTCTTCATATTTTGGTAAAACTTAAAAGCGTAAGCCGTTTTTCTGGTACCTGTTACTGAAAAGAACTGAATGTGACTCATTAACTTTGAGTTAACGTAAACCGAAACAGATGTCTTACTTTGTTCAGTCTTTAAAAATTTAACTCTTATTTGTAATTGTTTTCAAGAAAAAAGGTATAAATGAAAAGTGGTTTTGCATAGTTAATATTTGGGAGAAATAATAGGTTGGAGTTATTTAGATTACTGTTCTCAATAGTCTTTTTATTTTTTAAAAATGTTTACTGACATTTAAGTGTCTTATATATTCATTCATTTCCTGTTTTTTTAATTTGGGGATTTTTTCCTATACTGAGCAAAAATATACATTATAGTGTCTTGTGCATATGTTAGATTCTTTTAAAATATCTAAGTATCCTTTAAAGTCTTTGAAAAGCATAAGAAGCTATGGCCATATGGAAATTATTTTCCTATCTAGATAGCAAAATTCATTGCTCTGTATGTCAAATTATACTCTTAAAAGGAGAGAAATTAGTCTCAGTGTTTTTGTGTGTGTGTTTTTCTTCTAAAGCAAAGTGTCTCTTTGTAGTTTCATGTTAATATTTAGGTATATTAACTTATTTTTACGTAGTATATTTGGAAAGTGGTTTGAACTGCATTATTTTGATTAAATATTTCCAAAGCCTAAAACTGGCTTTTTAAAGGATAAGAAATGAATGTTGTCAGACTTTAAAGTGCCTTAAAGTGAATATGAAAGTTAACTGTTAAACATCAGGAAATTGCCAGTAAAATCCTAAGGCTGAGAAATAACTTTATGAGCAAAACTGAATACTTTTAGCAGAGGGAACTCTGCTCCTTACCCTGTGGTGACCTAGATGACAAAAGAGTTTGAAAAAGAATGGGTGTGTGTATGTGTATGGCTGAGTCTCTTTGCTGTGCACCTGAAACCAACACAACACTGTTAGTCAGTCCTATTCCAGTTAAAAACCAAAAAACTGACTGCTTGTTTTTTTATATGCCTCCTTATAACCTCCTGATAACTGGAGGTATAGCCCACTGCCTCCCTGGCCCCCACTTTCAAGTGTTCTTGTTCCTTATAAAACTTCTTAGGTGGATTTTCTTTTAGGATCCAAATTCAAAGTAATTTAACATTGTTTCTATAGAACTAATGGAAAGCAGTGATTTGAATGGAATCAATTTTCTTCACTTCACAAGGGAAGAATTCAACCAGAAAACATTTAATGAGTACTGGAGAAACTGTATTAACTCTCAGGTTATTTGTTATTTCAGAAAAATAAATTGTGTCCTAAGAGATTAAATGCATTTGTCACAATTATCCATTATATTTTGATTCAAAAGCATGGCATTTAGGTTTAAGAAGATAGAGAGCAACTATTAAAGTATTTTCATTGATGAATACTTGTTACCTAACCTCTAAGTCTTTAATTGTTACATAGTATTATCATGCACCAGTATTTTTAAATGTGAAAACTGGACTAATATATCTTTTAAGCGTCAAAAGTCAGTTTATGTATGATATATAAAATTGCAGCTTGCATTTTGGGGAAGGGAAGGTTTTTAATGGTAATGATCAGTTTACTACCTTTTTTGTTTTTAAAATATATTGATTTTTCTTATTTCTTGGTTATTTTATAGGAAGATCATAATCAACCATTGTTTGGAGTTCAGTTTAACTGGCACAGTAAAGAAGGAGATCCATTAGTGTTTGCAACTGTAGGAAGCAACAGAGTGAGTGTTAAGGGGCTGTTTGGCATTTGGTTCATCAGTCTCTGGTATTAATGTAACACTGAAGTGCAGTGATTTTGAAGTAAGCTTTGTATAGCTGATTTGACAGTATCATTGCTTTATGTAAAAATGAGACATTCTAGAAATAGTCAAAAATTAAAACTAATATTCATGACTGAAAATATATCTTTTTTCATATATACTCACAAAATTGTTCATGAAACAAGTCTCTGTATTTTGTCTTCATAAATATTGTTCTAAGTGGTTGAAAAAATTGACTTCTTTTTCCAAGTGACTGTAATAGTTATTTGTCAACTTGGAATAACAAGTCTGTGATTTTTTAAAAATAATAAATGTAATTAGTTGCCGTCTATAAATGCAAAGCATAAATCCAATGGATTTGTATAATAGTTACTGAAAATATTTTAATTATACACAGTAAACGTTTGTTTTGAATTATTTTTATTTAAGGAAGCCGGAGTATCTTGAACTGAGAATGCATGGAAAAAACCGTAGTGGACATGTTTTGATGTAAACTGTTATTAGCTTTCTAGTTGAATCTGGGGCTGAAAAGGTGGATCGCAAAGACTTTATTTCCATTCACTTCTAAGTGAATGGGGAAAAGGAAGATTCCTGGTGCCTACCTGGGAGTCTCAGGAGTCTGTTAAATTAAAATCATTTAAGAAAAGTTGTCCTCCTAATAATAAGTCTTTTATTAACTTACATTCTGGTTATTCTTTAATAATGTACTAGGAATTATGAGGAATAATGGAAAAACAGATTGGTGTGTTTGGAAAAAGAAAGATTGGGGGAAATTGACTAACTGGTATGGGTTGACAGTAAAGTCACTTTCTTTACCTTTAGTCCAAGAGGGGAAGGGAAGGAAGTGAATCTGGGAGCTATTCTGTAACTTCTTATTTTAATTGAGTGAAATAAAATCTTATGCTTCTTTAGTAATTGTGCTAAACTTGTTAGAGAAATAAGAGACCTTGATTTTGAATGCACTGTTTCCTATATTTATGTTTTTAATGTTATTATTCTGTTTTCAATCAAAACCAACCTGGGAGTTGTCAGCTGAGTATTTTCCAAATGTCAGCATATTGCCAAACTTTTTTCTTTTTCTTAATTTTCTGAAAGTTTGAAAATCTTACAAACATGCATGCATCTATTCTGGGCTAAATCCTTCCAATTTTCTGAAAAGTAAAACGTGGCTTTAAATAATTTCCTGGAAGTCTTCAAAGGAGTTTTCATGTATATATAATTTTATTACTTGGCTCTGCTGGGTGTTTGTTGCTGTGTGGGCTTTTCTCTAGTTACAGCGAGCATAGTTGAGGTACACAGGCTTCTTCCTGAGGTGGCTTCTCTTGTTTCGGAGCACAGGCTGGAACGTTGTGGCTTTGGTAGCCGTGGCACGGGGGCTCCGCGTTGCGGCGTCTGGGCCGTAGAGCACAGGCTCAGTAGTTGTGGCGCACAGGCTTAGTTAGTTGCCCTGCATTCAGAGAAGATGTTTTTATTGGTTGGTAAAGTTCTGAAAAGTTGAAACTCACTACTTAAGTTGATAACATGGATAACAGCCTTTTTTTAAATGTTTAGCCAAATGTATGTTGTGATACGTAGCTCGAAAACAATGATTCAGAGGGAACCTGATGCAGTTCAAAGAAAAAATTAAGGTTATTTTTTTCCGAAAATTGGGAATATAATCCATTAATTGATTTGAGTTCACTTTTAAGACATCACTATAAGCATACTTCACTAACTTCACCATCTTATTATTAATGGTCATGTTGGTATAATTAGAATTAGTATAACTTGTGCTTCAGAATGCCTACTGTAATGTTCCAGGCTTTCTAACAAAAAGAATCCCTAGTCTCACTTAAAATGACATTGAATTATAGGTTATTGAATTATAAGAAAGTCTGCTATTTGTACCTCTTCTTTTTTTAATAAAGCAAAATACTTTCTAAAGATGTAACATAGTTAATGTCCATATAAAGAGTATGTTTTTAGAATACTAATGTAGAGATTATCTTATTAATAGGTGATTTAAAGGATTTTTATAGAGTTCTTATAGACATTAAAATTAGTAACAGTGACTAAACTGTAAAATTGCTAACATGACTAAACTGTAAGAAAAGTTGAAAGAAATGTTTAAAAATGTAGTATTACAGGGACTTCCCAAGTGATCCAGTGGTTAAGACTTTGCCTTCCAATGCAGAGGGTGCAAGTTCTATCCCTGGTTGGGGAGCTAAGATTCCACATTGTTTGGGGCCAAAAATCCAAACAAGCAGTATTGTAAAAAATTCAATAAAGACTTTAACAATGGTCCACAAAAAAATTTTAGTATTACAGAGTAAGCCCTCTGTATCCTCGGGGTTCCACATCCACAGATTGAGCCACCTATGGATCGAGAATATTCAGAAAAGAAAATTCCAGAAAGTTCCAAAAAAGCAAAACTTGAATTTGCTTTGTGCCAGCACCTTTATTTGCATAGCATTTACGTTGTATTAGTGGTCTAAAGATCAAGTATACTGGAGGCTATGTGAGGTTATATGCAAATACTGTGCCATTTTATATAAGGAACTTGAGCATTCTTAGATTTTGGTATCTGTGGGCGTCCTAGAACCTATCCCCTTGCAGATACTGAGGGACCACTGTACATAATTGAGTAAAGTGAATATGTTATTAATTTTAGAAAATGACAAATGGAAAGGGCCACTGTACAGCAGAAAGTTAATTAATAACAAACAATGTCCATGAGGCAAATTTTAGATTTTCTTTTATGTAATTAAAAATGCTCCAAAACTACCCAAAGACTTTAAAGAGGATAAGCCACAGGAATTCTTGGAGGTCCAGTGGTTGGAACTCTGCACTTTCACTGCCATGGGCCTAAGTTCAGTCCCTATCAGGGAACTGGGGTCTTACAAGCCATATGGCACAACCAAAAAAAAAACAAAAAAGAGGATAAACCACAGTTTTAGGAAGTAGTTATACTTCACTGTGAGGTACTCAACTGTATTTACTTGGAAGAATTGGTCCAATTATATGAATAAGTTGAAAACATTGGAAATAGAAACCATAAATTATTACTACAGTGTTTAATATACTCTGAAAATTATGTAATGCATTAGGGTTTATAATGATTTCCTTAAATTTAAAGTTCTCCTTTTTTAATAGTTTTCTATATTGAGTTACTTTTAAAAAGTTTTTTTTTTTTTTTACTGTATTGCACAGTAAAATAAATTATGTTCAAAAGCTGGAGAGTGTGTTTCTGTACTTGAGATGAACTCTGTGGTGTTTTGTTTTCACTAGGTCACCTTATATGAATGTCATTCACAAGGAGAGATCCGGCTGTTGCAGTCTTACGTGGATGCTGATGTATCCTTTCCTGGGTTTTCGGTATCATTGGCTAAAGAAATTGACTTTGAATAAGTACCCCAAAACTTCTATACCTTACTTTCTTAACTTTATCCAATGCTGTTCCTTCACTGTTACCCAAAAGATTCTTGGTATCTAGTTTTCCTGATCCTGGGAAGCCACTGTCAGGGTAGATAGGAGGCAGGACAGTACAGGTGGCTAGAGATGAGCGCTAGAAAGCCAGTAATAGAAAATGATAGCAGAAAGTAGTTAAAACTTCCTGTTTCTTTGACCTTGCTTATATTTTTATCATTTCAGAGCAGGGATATTGGTGAGTTTGGGTTTATCAGAAGCTGTGCTTGACAGTCATATCAAGTATTTGGTCACCAGAGCCTACAGGGAAAAAAATAAGCATGTTTGTTTAGGAAATGAAATATTGTAAAACATGGGTTTATAAAGAAAAAGAAAGCTTTAAGGATAAGAAAGCCAAAGGATACAGCAGTCAAAGCTTATTTTAAGATTTTTTCCAGATCTATTTGAAAAACCTAGCAAGTAAGAAAAAGAAGATTTTAGTTTTCCCTTAGGTGATAAGGAAGGAGGTGACCTTTGGCAGTATTGGGAAAGTCTCACACAGGAAAAGTGGAAAACTGAGTAGTTAACTGATTTTTATCTAGAGGCACATAGAGTTATTGAGATAGAGCCAGGGTCAGCAAATTACAGCCTGTGGAACTGGACACCTGGTTTTGTTTTTGTTTTTGTTTTTTTAATTTTATTTATTTATTCTTAATACCAAATATTTGTATTGGGGAATAGCCAATTAACAATGTTGTGATAGTTTCAGGTGAACAATGAAGGGACTCAGCCATGCACGTACATGTATCCATTCTTCCCCAAACCTCACTCTCATCCAGGCTGGCACATAATGTTGAGCAGAGTTCCATGTACTATATAAGGGTTTTTGTTGGTTATGCATTTTAAATACAGCAGTGTGTACATAATCTTCCCAAAGTCCTTGACTATCCCTTCCTCCAGACAGCTGTTTTTATAAATTTTGGGGAGGATACAACCTATGCTTATTCATTTACATATTGGCTGTGGCTGCTTTCAAAAGACAGGTAAATAGTTGTACAAACAGCAAAATAGTAATCAAAATTGAGTGGAAGGATCAGTTTGTTTGATCACTTGGTAAAGATTTTAGACCTAAAATCTTCATTGTTTCAACCCTGATGGTATAAAGAAAAACGGGAACTTCTTTGTCAAGAGCTTCAACAATTCTTTGGACATTATTGTGATCATTGATGTGTTTCCTTTTAAAAACCAAATTATATTTCTTAACTGGAATTTCTTAGGCTGATGAAAACTTTTACACTTGTGCGTGGACATATGATAGCAATACAAGCCATCCTTTGCTGGCCGTCGCTGGATCTAGAGGCATAATTAGGATAATTAATCCCATAACAATGCAGTGCATAAAGGTGGGTTTTCTTGTTAAATTGTAGATCTGCTTTTTTTGAATGCACACGTGTGAAAACTTGCCATGTTGAGTTTAAAATGGAGTCAATTTCTATGCAGTTTTTAATTTGGTTTGTACTTTGCCTGCTGCTTCCTTTAGACAAGTCTTTTGAGACCTTTGTCACATTTGGGTAATGCAAATTAAGGAATAAATGGGAAAATTTTATCGTTTGCCCTGCTTTCTGTTAAAGTCATTTCTGTTCTTTTGCTTTATCCTGAGAAGCTCTAAATGAACAATAACTAAAAAGAGTGAACTCATTTTTCAAGAACCCCTAAATAGGGATATGGAATCAAGGGTACTTTGTAAACAATTGAAAAGTGAAGCTTTGGAAGTTGATACTAAAAGAAATTTTACAATTCACTTTAACCCTGGGGCACATTAGAATCACGTGAGAATCTTTTAAATCCTTGCTGTGGCTCAGAATATCTGCAAATGGGACTTGAAAATCTTTTATTTTTTCTTCAAGCTGGGGGATTTTAATATGCTGCCAAGGTTGAGAACCACTACTTCAAGTGAAATTATTTTTCCATTCTTCTAAGATTAATGAAAATGAATTTATTGAATTTTATATGAAAGTTGAAATGTCTTAAATTTATTATAGCATTATGTTGGCCATGGAAATGCTATCAATGAGCTGAAATTCCACCCAAGAGATCCAAATCTTCTCCTGTCAGTAAGTAAAGGTAAGAGAAACAAATATTTCCTTAAGTTGTATTATTTGGGAGTGAGTTGGGTTTTGTTTGTTTTGTTTTGTTTTGTTTGACTTCAGGGCAAACTAAGGGAAAATTCCAAATTTGAAAAGAAGTAAGTTTTAGAAAAATCTTGGGCTACATTAGCATCCCTAAACCAAGAACTGGAGAATGAGACCATGAAATACACTGTTCATGTAAGATGTAGATAAAATAATTGACACTGAGGATTAGGTGTGTGTTACCCTTATTTTCCATATTGCCTTATGATAGTTCTAGAAATTTATTCTCAATTGAATTATCATGCTAAACTCTATTAATTTTAATGGCAGGTCACCAAAGTTGCAACATTTTTAATAGTTTGAAGGTAGTCTAGCAAATCATCTGATGCTTTCCAATCATCTAATAAGAAATAGTGTATCTGAAAATCCATAGTGCTTTTTTTTGCCTCTCTATATATAAAGCTTCTATTTTATAAAAGATTCCCTATAGGATTCCTTAAAATGTTAAGTTATCCAGCGTAAACTCTTCTAAATGTTTTCCTTCCTTACAAAGAGAAAGCGTTGTCGTGCTCTGTATGCCTTTGTTGGCATTGTAAGTTTATTTTGGGTTCAGACAGGCCTCTGAATCATTCTTAATCATTTCTGAGCTCTCTAAAGTGATTTGAGTTATTCTTATTTCTACTTTCTGTTTTTATTGCCCTTTCTCTTTTCATTTCTACATTATTATTCTAGTCAAATGTACTTTCTTAACAGCTATCCCACCTATAACCTAACCCCCACAGTCTCCCCATATTAAAAGATATCCTCAAGTTAAAATTCTTACATGAAAAATATTTCAGTGTGATTTTTCAGCTATCAAGGCTTGTTTGGAAATAGACACCTAAGAAGAGAGCTGATAACTTTTTCTCTTCTGTTAATAACAGTAACTGGGCTCAGATATTCTTTTACAAGTAACATAGACCATAATTGCTTACTTGTTCTTAATATCACAGTTTCTTAACCTTGCTCTTCCCCCGTTGTGTTAGAGCATTTTTCAAACAGCTTTTCAAAATGAACAGGAATTTTTCTGCAAGTAAAACTCTCAAGAAAGGAAAAGACAATTTATAGGGGGAAAAAAATATGCAAGTTGTGTATCTAATAAGGAACTTAAATCAAGAGGTCATACAGTTCAGTAATACAAAGACAACCAAATTAAAAGCAAAGGCTTTAAGTAGACATCTTTCCAAAGAATAGGCAAGAATGTCTAATAAGCACATGGAAAAGCACTCATTGTTAATCATTAGGGAAATGCAACTCAAAAATACAGTGAGATACCACTTCACACCTACTAGGATGACTGAAGTAAAAAAGACAGTAAAATATGGAAGCCCTTCATCCATTGCTGGTGGGAATGTAAAATGTTTAAGCACATTGAAAAACAATCTGGCAATTCCTTAAAAAGCTAAACATAGAATTATACTCCTAGGTACATGTATCTTAAAGAGAAATGTAAATGTCTGCACAGAAACTTGGATGCAGATTGAAATCATGGCTACAGAAAGAAATCATTTTTGTAGCAATGTTTATTTCCACTACTAACAATATATTGTATAATATGTTAATATTATACAGTATAGACATTGTTATATTTCAAACTCTGCTTGGTATTATATTTATGAATATTGCTTTCTATTTATTTTGTTGCTGATGTTTAGTGGAAAATGAGATTGCTCAGATTACAGTTACAGAATTTTTGAAAGGTCTGTAATACTCTAAATAATGTCCCAATGTGTGTATGTTTCAATCCTGTTTTTAGATTTACTATAGAGATTTTATAAATCTACTTTGTCCTCTTCAATTTGTAAATGTGGGTATAGTGGAGGGAAAAACTAGTACCCTTGAAAGTTTGAACTCATACCTAGTTAAATCTACAGGTAATATAAATATTTTAAGTTCCTGTATGATATGGATTCCTTCTTAGTCATTATTGTGAATGAGTTAAGTCCAAACTTTGGTAGTTTTTTCTTTAAAGAGATATTAAAAGTCCACAGTAAATGAATGATAAAAGTTTGTGTTAATTTCTTTATGTCTGTACTAGATCATGCTTTACGATTATGGAATATCCAAACGGACACTCTGGTGGCAATATTTGGAGGTGTAGAAGGGCACAGAGATGAAGTTCTAAGTGCTGTAAGTTGAAAGCTACAGGGCAGTAACCTTCAGGTTACAAAGCTGTGAACAATCCCTACAAGAAAGCATGTGGTTTGTTTCATGTAGCTTGACAGGCAGTTTACTTCATTTACTGTGACAGACAAGGTTTTAACTTAAAGATGAAATAAAGCAAGTAGGCGCTTTGTGTTTTATCTGTACTCTTGTACATGTTTTACCAGCGCCTGGATTCTCATGAAAGAATTCTATGAGCTTGTTCTTTTCCTTTTTTAATCTAAAATCACCAAGTTACCTTTTGTTGTTTCTCAGTTATTAAAGGAAAAGGTTAACCTACTTGGCAATTAAGAAATTTTTTCATCTTTTATTTGAAGTTGAAATATAAGTTACACATTTCTAGGAAGTATTGTTCACACTGACTTTTGGATAACTTCCCTTTGATGGCATGGTGTTGTCTCTATGCTTTGTATTATAATCTGTTGATCTGTTGTAGTGATATTAAGTGTTTTTAGTTAAGTTTCAGATGTGTTGTTTAGGTTTACTTAAGTTCTGTGTGTAGCTCATTTATTTACTAGTCTTACAGCTCTTCCGTTTTTTGTTTTTTTAACTATTTTAAAAGGGCATTATATTTTGAAGCATGTGATATTTAAATTGGAGGTACTAAATAATCCTATATGCTTTCGTGAGAATCATACCTACCTTAAAGGATTTTCTAGAACTTGCAGAATTCCATCTAGCTTTATGTGTGAAAAAACAAAGACTACTGTCCTTCCTTAAAAACTCTGTGAGAGCTCCTGGCTCTAGAGGTGTCTTGTTGCTATTGACAGTGAGGTAATTGGGAAAACTAGCAGCTGCCAGACTTCTGAATTCAATAAACACCAAATCAGGCTTTTGTAAAACTGTGTTCATGATTGATTCAAAGATTGGATTTACATAGAATATCTAGATTAGTGAGGAAAGTACTCTCCTTCTTAAAATGAAAGCAGGGGATAGTTTGTATCTCTTCTGTACCAATAGTTGCTCACTGCTAGAAGGATTGATGTGTGAGATTTTCATCGACACATGTACCATGTGCTAAAGTAAATATCTCTGAGCCTAAGTGATTTGTGAGATAAGGTGGAATAACGTTGTTAACAATAGGTGATCTGTTAGGAGCTCATTAAAAATTAATAAACAGCAAATGAGGAAATGTTGCTTCCTTCCATGTTTTTCTTTATTCATTTAAAAAGTGAACTCCAAAACCAAGGTACCCAACTTATCTAAGTGTTTTGACTTAGATATACAAGTAAATTTCACTTGTTTAAAGGACTCCTAATTTCACATGCAGATACCAGTTTCATTGCTTCATCTGGGTTGGACAAAGAAAAATAACAACGATTCAGGTTTTTATGTCATAAATAATTGTTTTGCCTCAGCATTAGATTCACCTTCAAAATCAAGCAAAGGAAATATTTGGCTAAAGATAATTGAATAGATAAAACTAAATTCAAAGATTTTACTTCTTAACCTGCCATATTGCATAAGCTCATATATTGTGGTGATAACAAGTCAGTTAAAACTAAATCTTGAAAGTGGTAAAAACTTTGTGACTTATGGCCTGCATATATGAAACCCAAATTGTTAGTGTTGTGGTTTGAAATACAGTTTCCACAATACTGGACATGAGATGAAAATCAGCATAATTTGGGGAAATAATTTACATATTTAATTTAAGCTTTTCTGTTTTATATACAGGATTATGATCTTTTGGGTGAAAAAATAATGTCTTGTGGTATGGATCACTCTCTTAAACTTTGGAGGATCAATTCAAAGAGAATGATGAATGCGATTAAGGAATCTTATGATTATAACCCAAATAAAACTAACAGGTAACAGTTGTAGTATTTAAAACAATTTGCTATCTCATGCCTTTGAATAATGTTTTACTTTTTCAAAAATTGTTATATTAGTCTCCAGTATTGAGTTGAGACCCCCCTCTTTTAGTAACTTTAAGGTATAATTTATATGCCATAAAACTCATTGAATTTAAATGGAAGCCTTTATTTTTATCTAATTATGTTTGTGGCTCATTTTTCAAAATCCCTTTCAGGTTGTGTTTTTATCTTAATTTAGTAGCCCATTTCACATATTTTATTTAGGTATGCATGTGCTAATGTTATTAACACCACTTGTCAACACTGTAAATTCTAATTAAAGACAGTAAGTCATAATTTTTTCAGTGGGGTTCTTAGCTTTAATTCATGATAAATGCCTTCCTTTAAATGATACTTCACTATATAGAAAATTCAAAAGCAGGAGCTTTGTTCTAAGGGACTACATGTGGGAACTTCTCAGTTTTTTAATTTATTTTTGAAAAACCTCAGTTCTTAATTAATTTACTGTCTTTTTCAGTATCTTATCAAGCTATTAACTCTTTCACTGTGACTATCCTGTGTTTGTAAATGTTAACTTTGTTTGCTCTTTTCATTTTAGCCGTTAATTCCCTGATTATCGACCCACATTATGAGTAGATTGTTAGTTGAATTTGTAACCATAAGTAAATATTTTAATACAGTGACATTCATCACATCTCATGCCTCTTAAGAATTAGCACAGCTTTCAAATTTTGTTTTAAAACATCAGGAGTTAGTACAATATTAAATTTATGTTTTTGTATTTTCTAGAGCTCTGGAATAAATAGAAGTTGTATTTTACAGCTTACAGAAAGTAGCTGAATGCTGGTCTTCTTGAAAGAGGTTTAACCATAGATTATACTACATACTTGGCTAATAAGGCTATAGCAGTTAAGAATTTGTATCAAGTCATTAATAGCATTTTAATGTTTTAATAAAGAAAAGATCTGGGAGTTTCCTGGTGGCCGAGGGGTTAGGATTCCAGGCTTTCACTGCTGTGGCCCTATTTCAGTCCCTGGCTGGGGAACTGAGATCCTGTGAGCCACAAAAAAAGGTAAAAAAAAAAACCACAACAAACCCCACAGTTTGAATTGGAAAACATATTTGAAATGATTGAGCCCAACATCCTTTTTATGTATGAGGGAAAAGCCAAAGAGAAGACTTGTGAGTTGCCCAGGATACAACTAATTCATGGCATAGGATGCTTCTTCAGTTACTTCACTTTAAAAACTGAATCCATTACTAGATTAGAAACGTTAGATATATATTTAATTAACTGAAGAATTGGTAGCAACTTCTCGAGCTTATAGTCTTGTCACAAACATCTTTAAGGAAAAATTGTGCCATATTTTACTTTTCTAAATACAGGAAACGTTCTAACTAATAAATGTCAAATTCCTGTCAGATATCATCTTCAAAAATTGTTGTTCTAGGCAGGCTTCTCACCTAACTTTAGCTTTACCAGACTTTGAAATGTGTCATTGTTTCTGAAAGATGACTATCTTTTGAAATAAGGTAGGTGTGTTAGCTTTCATAGACCATTGTTAATTTGAAAGGATTGAGTTGGTAGCTTTTTCTGTGAGAAATTTTCAGCTCTAAGCAGATGTCTTTGGTTATTGGTTAGGACAGCCAGAATTGAAGTAATTGATTTTGGTCTATATATAGTAAAGCAGGAAGTTGCAGTTTTTATAAATGAAATTTCATAGGATGAACACAAAATTGAGTTGCGAGCTAATAATGGAGTAAAATGTAGAAACAAAAACAGAGTGAAATTTTAGTTCCCAATAAACGGATCAGAAGATATTTAGTTTTATAGGAACACAGATGAACTAATACTCATCTGTTTTTCTTTTCAGAGTTTTATAAATCCTAAAAGGAAAATTAGTGAGCTTCTGCTACACATTTTTCTCTTAACTTTTGATATTTCCATTTCAGGCCATTTATTTCTCAGAAAATTCATTTTCCTGACTTTTCTACCAGAGACATACATAGAAATTATGTCGATTGTGTGCGATGGTTAGGTGATTTGATACTTTCCAAGGTATGGTAACTGCTGTTAAGCTGTATTTCCATTGTTTGTGTGAGTTGGAACTCTGCAGGGAGCACAGTTGTTTATGCAGTTGGTAAATTGTGTAACAGATGGGAAATTGCTTTTTTTTCTTTTTTTAAGTCTCATGATACTTTGAAAATTCAAAAACTTATTTGAGGCATAAAACATCCTGATGAACTATAATTTGTGCTCCAGTAAGATTAAAAATGTTAACTTGCAAGATGATATTCTTTGATATCCAGTGTTACTGTAAAATTACCAATATCTAAAGCCAGTAGCAGGGTTTTTTTGGGGGTTTTAATGTTCGTGTTCATTTTCGTAAACTTACATGTATAAAAACAGACAGCTGGAGTTGGCTGATGGGCTCTAGTTTGCCAGCCCCTGCTCTAGTATGTTGATATATATTTTTTCTACTGATAATTTAGAGAAGTTGATGGTGATGTCATCTGAACATTTAGGATTGTCAGATTTGGATAAATTGCTATCCAGTTTCTATTTGGTATAGGTTTCAGGGCATTTCACTTTTTCTTGGGTAGAGCCTGATTATTTATTTTTTCCTTACCAATGAGGGTAGAGTGTTACTTTTTTATTTTTTAACCTTTGATTTTGAAATTAAATTCACAGGAAGTTTCAAAGACAGTTTAGAGAGGTTTCACATTGCCCCTCACCCAGTTTCTCCCATTGGTTACACCTTATATATACAAAATCAAATCCAGGAAACTGACATTGTAAGTGTATGTGTATGTGTAGTTGTATGTTATTTTATCACATGTGATTTTGTCATTTCAAGAATGTTTCTGTATGGGACCTTTTAAGATTATTTTTCACTCAGTATAATGCCATCCAAGTTGTGTATATCAGTAGGTCTCCCTTTTAGTTGCTAAATAGTACCCATGGTGTGGATGTACCACAGTTTATTTAACCTTATTCATCTATTGTAGGACATTTTGGTCCTTTCCAGTTTTTGGCCTGTTACAAATAAAGCTGCTATTGAACAGTCGTGTGTAGGTTTTTGTGTGGACTTACGTAAGTTTTCACTTCTCTGGGATAAATGCCTAGAAGGGCAATTGCTGGGTCATGGTTACATTTGTTTAGTTTTTTAAGAACCTGCCAAACTATTTTCCAGAGTGGCCGTGCCATTTTACATTCCCACCAGCAATGTATGAAAGATGCAGTGTCTTCGAATCTTCGCCAGCATTTGGTATTGTCACTATTTTTTATTCTAGCTGTTCTGATAGGTGTGTAGTAATACATCATCATGGTCTTAATTTACATTTCCCTGATGGTTAGTGGTGTTGAACATCTTTTTTATGTGCTTATTTACCATCCATATATCCTTTCAATGATGTCTCTTTGTATCTTCTCATTTTCTAATTGGATTTTTTTTTGTTTTTTTACTGTTGAGTTTTGAAAGTTCTTCATATATTCTAAATCCTATGTCAGATAAGCAGTTTGCAGATTTTCTCTTCCAGTCTGTAGCTTGTCTTTCATTCTCTTAACAGGGTCTTTTGCAGAGCAAATACTTTCAATTTTGATAAAGTTTAATTTATTGATTTTTTTAAAAATTATTTTTTTATGGATAATGCTTTTGTTATTTGAAAAACTCTTCACTAAGCCCTGGATCCTAAAGATTTTCCCCTGTGTTTCCTTCAGGAGTTTTTATAATGTTTTATATTAAATTTATGGTCCATTTTAAGTTAGTTTTTGTATGACATTTAAGTAGAAAGTTCATTTTTTGCCTATAGTTTATCTGGTTATTCCAGTGCCATTTGTTGAAAGCCTATCTTTCCTCCTTTGAATTGCTCTTGCACTTTTTTCAAAATTGTTTGGCCATGCTTATATGAGGCTGTTTCTGATTATTTGAGGCTGTTTCTGGTTATTCTATTCCTTTCCTTCTACCAGCACTACATACACAGGCTTGACTATTCTAGCTCTATAAGTCTTGGAATTGGTAGAGTAATTTCTTCCACTTTATTCTTTTTCAAAATTATTTGCATCTAGTTCCTTTGCCTTTCTATATAAGGTCTAGAATTATCTTGTCTACATTCACTGAAAATCTTACCGGGATTTCTTTGAGGGTACGGAACATCTTAATTGGAATTGTGTTAAACCTGTGTATCAGTTTGGTGGAGAATTAATATCTACTCTGCTTAGTTTTTTTGTCCTTGACTGGTATGTCTGTTCATTGATTTAGACCTTTGATTTTTTATTAACAGCATTTTGTAGGTTTTTAAAAATATAATTTTATTTATTTTATTTTTTTGGCTGTGGTGGGTTTTTTTGCTGCATAGGCTTTTCTCTAGTTGTGGTGTGTGGGCTTCTCATTGCAGTGGCTTCTCTTGTTGCAGAGGACAGGCTCAATAATTGTGGGGCATGGGCTAAGTTGCTCTGTGGCATGTGGGATCTTCCTCGATTAGGTATTGAACCCAACCCATGTCTCCTGCACTGGCAGATGGACTCTTCACCACTGAGCCACCAGGGAATCCCCCAGCATTTTATAGTTTTGAGCATGCAAGTCCTGTGTCTGCTTTGTTACAGGTACACCTTAAGCATTTCTCTTTCTTGAGTGACTATCATAAATGGTATTTCTGATTTCCATCTCTTTGTGTTCATTGCTGATATATAGAAATAAATTTACTTTTATGTATTAATCTTGAATCCTATCTATTTTAACTACTTACAGTTCAAGAAGGGTGGTTTGTTGGGGGGGGTGGCTAAGGGTTGGCTAATTACTTGGGATTTTCTACATAAATCATTCATCTCTAAATAAGGACCGTTTTTATATCTTCCTTTCTGAACTGAATTTTTAAAGAATTTTCCATTTGTCTCATTTCACTGACAAGCTTCTGGTGCTACATTGAATAGCAGTCTTAACTCATTAATGACTGGGGGATTTTTGCAGAAACTAACTCCTGTGGCTGGTGATATTTATTTTGACAGGTCAAAAATTAGTTCTCTTATTTCACTAACACTGTACAGGTACCTGTAGTCAGTTACACCTGACATACCTGTAATTCCTCTAATTTTTGTGAAATGTTGTCTTCAGTCCACTCTTCTGTAGAAGTACAGGAGCAGTCTCCAGCACTGTTGCATTTTCACTTTGTATCAGAATCAGGAAGAGTTTTTGTTGGTTTGATATTCACATCATCTGAATTAGAACGAATTTCTGAAGAACTATCATCTTCTGAGACACTAGTATGTATGTCACTTAGACATAGAACGTATTTGCATAAAATCCACTGAAAAATTCTTCCTCAAAATTTCGTGACATGTCATTTCTGAAATTTTATGTTTATAATATACACAGAATTGGAACAAAAACCTGATGGAGCAAAATGTAATTGATAATGATAGTCATAAGTTGTATGATGAACCATTGGTGCAGTTTAAGCTCTTTAACAACTTCACATGGTGATATTGATTGTATCACTCTAAAAACATATTGCTACATCTCCAGTCAATAGCATTCAGGTAACAAAAGATATATTAATATGTCTCTGGTCAGTAATGTGTTAAGAGTAGACTTCCTAGACTTGTTTCTGATGTTAAAGGGGGAAAGAATTCAGTCTTTCGCAATTATACAGATCAGCTGTATGATTCTTTTGTAGCAGTTATTTTTGGGCTGTGTCAGGTCTTGATAGCGGCACTCGGGACCTTTGTTGCCTCATTCAGGATCTTTCTTTGTGGCACATGGGCTCTCTGGTTGTGGTGCGCGGGCATAGTTGGCCTGCGGCATGTGGGATTTTAGTTCCTCTGCCAGGGATCAAACCAATGTCCCCTGTATTGCCAGACACGCTGGACCACCATGGAAGTCCTAGCTGTATGATTTTTGTAGATGTTCTATATCTAGTTGAGAGTTGTTCTTTTTCCTAATTTTTTCGGAGTTTTATCATGAATAAGTGTTGAAGTTTGTCAAATGCTTTTTCAGCATCAATTGATATGATCATTGTTTTTTCTGTTTTAGCCTGTTAATGCAGTGGACTGCACTGATTGTTTTTGAATATTGAATCACTGGAATAAGTTTACTTCATCATGCTGTATATTTGTTTTTTATGTTGCTGAATTCTGTTTGCTAATATTTTGTTAAGAATTTTATGTGTATTATTGGTCTGAAGTTTTGTTCGTTGTATTATTGTCTTTGTCTGGTTTTGATATCAATAATACTGGCATTTGGGCCTAAAAATTTTTGAGGAGGAATTTAAAAATTAAAAACTTGATTTCCTTAAAAGTGAAAAGGTTGGTCAAATGAAGTTTCATATTGGGTGAGTTGTGGTAGTTTGTGCTATTTCAGGAATTGATCCATCTCATCTAATATAAAATTTATGTGTGGAAAGCTGTTTGAGTATTCCTTTATTATCCTTTTGATATCTGCAAGGTCTTTATGATAGTCCGTTTCATTCCTGAAATCAGTAATTTATGTCTTCTCGCTTGTCAGTCTTTTTAGGAGTTTGGCAGAATTATTTTGTCATCTCCTGTCTCCCTGTTTTTAGTTTCCTATGAGTGTATTTTGTTGTTCTATTTGCTAGTTTTGGGAGGTTAGATTATTTAGTCAAGGCTTTTCTAATGTAAGCTTTTGGTGCTATAAATTTCTCAGTCAGCACTGCTTTAGTTGCTTCTCACAAAAATTTTGATATGCAATGTGCTATTTAGTTTTTGATAGTGGTTTAGTCACTAGGTCATGTCTGAATCTTTGCAACCCCATGGACTGTAGCCTGCGAGGGTCCTCTGTCCATAGGATTTTCCAGGCAAGAGAACTGGAGTGGGTTGCCATTCTCTTCTTCAGGGGATCTTCCCAACCCAGGGATCGAACCCGGGTCTCCTGCACTGCAGGCAGATTCTTTACTGACTCAGCTACTAGGGAAGCCCGTTTAGTATTTAGGTGTTGGAAAATTTTCACTATCTTTCTCTTACTGATTCTAGTTGATTCCATTTTGGTCAGTCAGTATATATTCTTTATGATTTTGATTCTTTAAAAATTTTTCAGATTTGTTTTATTACCCTGTTTTGGGTATGTTCCATGGGACTTGAAAAGAATGTGTCCTATTGTTGGGTGGAGTGTTCTGTAAATATCAGCTAGATCCTATTGGTTGAGTGTGGTTGAATTCTTCTGTGTCTTTGTTGATGTCTGTCTGCTCTAAGTGCTGAAGTCTTCAACTATAATCATGAATTTTTTCCTTTCTTCTTCAGTTCTGTGACATACTGCAGCTCTGTTGGTTAGCATATACACATTTAGTATTGCTTTATTTGAAGTGAGTTTCTTACAGACAACATACAGTTGGGTCATACTGTTTTTTTAATTCACTTTGAGGAACTGTCTTTTAGCTTGTAAATTTAGATTGTTTGAGACTTGACTTACCAATTGTTACATTGTCCTGCATTTAATTTTTTTTTTTTTTTCATTTCCCTGGGTTTTCTCCCCTAAATTCCTGTAGGTTATGTGCACATGTTTTAGAATTTCAATTTGATTTATCTGTACTACCTCTGAGTGTATTTCTTTGTGTAGTTTGCTTTGTTTTTATATTTGCTCTGGTAATTGCAATATATGTATGTGATCATCAGTATATCGGCATTTTACCACTTCAAATGCAGTATAGGAAGCTTATCTCCCACTTTGTCCTCCACTTATAATTGTTTTAAATATTTCCTTACAGTTGAGAACTTCATTAAATAATATTACAATTTTTGCTTGAACCATCAAGCAGAATTTAAAAACTTGAAGGAAAGGAGAATTTTGTGTTTACTCATTTTGCTTTTTCTGTTGTTCATTCCTCCTTTCTAATATTCCAAGATTCCTTATTTTATCATTTCCTTTCTGTTCATAAAACATTCTGTAGCTGTTGTTTTAGAATGGTGACAGATTCTTTTAGTTTTTCTTAGTTTAGGGATGTCCTCATTTCCCGTTTATTCCTGAAGTGCATATTCACTGAACAGAGGATTTTGTGTTCACAGTTCTTTCTTTAAACATTTGAACAGTGTTCCTCGTCTTTCTGGTTGCTGTCATTTTTAATGAGACGTCTGCCGCCGTTGGAATTGGTTTTTCCTTATAGCTAAGGTATTCTTTCTGACTTAATTGCTTTGGGGATTTTTTTTTTCTTTATCTTTAGCTTTCAGAAGTTTGACTGTGCTGTGCTTGATATTGATGTCTTTGAGGGATTCATTTACTGTCTTGAATCTGTAGGTCTGTCTTTAGGGGACATAATTCATTCCAAATATGGGTTTTTTTCAGCCATTACTCAAATTCTTCTTTATCCCCTTTTTCTCGCCGCTCTCCTCTAATGATACTTTAGATTTTTTGTTTGGTCTCTGAGACTCTGTCATTTTAATAAGTCTGTTTTTCTTTGTTTACTTGGTAACTTCTTAGTTCATTTCCACTCAGTCATTCAGTCGTGTCTGACTCTTTGCGACCCAATGAACCGCAGCACGCCAGGCCTCCCTGTCCATCACCAACTCCCGGAGTCCACCCAAACCCACGTCAATCAAGTCGGTGATGCCATCCAATCATCTCATCCTCTGTTGTCCCCTTCTCCTCCTGCCCTCAATCTTTCCCAGCATCAGGGTCTTTTCATCCTGTTCACATTGGGTAATTTCTGTGTTCTAACTTTAAATTTACTGACTCTCATTTCTCTTCTGCTGGTGAGCCCTTCAGTTCTTTTATTTTGGTTATAGTATTTTTAGTTCTAAAATTTCCACATGGTTCTTATCTTTTCTTTGCTGAGACTGTATTTTAAATGTGTTTGTAATTTCTCATTGAAGCATTTTTTTTTTTCAAATTTTGTACTTTTAATTTTGTATTAGGGTGAAGCATTTTTATGATCAGTTCACTTCAGTCACTCAGTCGTGTCCAACTCTTTGCTTTAAAATCCTTGTCAGATAGTTCTAACATCTGTGTCATCTCATTGTTTTGGTCTGTTGTTATCATTTTTCATTAAAGTTGCGATTTTAACATTTCTTGGTATGACAAGTGAATTTTGATGGAGATATGGATATTTTGGGTACTGTTAGGACACTCGGGCTCTTATTTAGCTCTCTTACAGCGGCTTCCTTTGATAAATTTTCAGCTGTAAAGTGAATGCTGCTTCATGATTGGCAGGTAGGAAAGGATGTTAAGGTTCCCCACTTGGTTGACTTGGTGATGTTGTCTCTTTTCTGTGGGGCAGGAGTTCAGGCTTTTCACGGGGATTCAGCTAACACCACCCTAGCAGGGAGGGGTTTGGAGCCCGCATTACTGCTCCCTGGGTGGTCTCCACTGACACTGTGGTAGGTGGTTGTGAACATCCTGGCTGTCTGCTCAGTTCAGTCAGTCAGTTCAGTCGCTCAGTCACATCCGACTGTTTGCGGCCACATGGACTGCAGCACTCCAGGCCTCCTTGTCCATCACCAATTCTTGGAGCTTGCTCAGACTCATGTCCATTGAGTCAGTGATGCCATCCAACCATCTCATCCTCTGTCCACTTCTCTCAACTTTTTGCTATACTGCCTCTAATACAACCCCAGCCAGAGAGGAGGAGGAGTCACCTCATTACCATGAGGGGTAGGGAGGAGTCAGCAGGGTATTATGTACTTGAAGTGTTTAGTCACCACCTGTGAGAAGGGATCCCCACTGGGACTTTGCTGGTTCATGTGTGGGCGGGTCCACAGTTTTTTCTGTGGTATTGTTTACCTGAAAATTTTCTCATGCTGGGTTGCCAGTTTCCTGGTCCTTTGGAGAGAGGAGGCTTTGGGGGGCTTTGTTTTGTCTTTAGCTTTGTTGAGTCGCTACCTTCTCTAGCGTGCAGTCTGGGATACAGAAAGGAGGCAAAAGAAAACCAAGGAGCGCAGTGTCCCCCGTGTCCCAGGATCCTGAACCTGTTTCCTCCCTACCCTTCAGACTTTTAAGTTGTATCTAGTGAGATGAATAGGGAGAAGTACCTCTACTTCATTGATTGCTGGAAGAAGATGTAAAAAGGCAGTAGCTCTAAAATTTCTGCTCTTAGAACTTAATCAGATGATAGGAAAAGATTTCTGCATTTTAGGTAAGAGGCTGAACTGAGTATTGGTGGTCTCAAATCTGGCTCCACATCAGAACTACTGGGAGGACATTGTAAAAACAGATTCCTAAGCTTCGTCCCCAGGTATTCTACATCTAGCACAAGACCTGAGGATTTGTAATTGTTAGAAACTCTCTGGATGACTTTCAAGTACAGCTATCCATCAGTGTGGGTAGACTATTTTTACCTCCCTGTTCTTTGGCTCGGCGTGAGGGGACTCTACTAAGTAGAGTCCTTTACCAGTACAGTCAGTAAGAAGCACTTGAAGAGCTATGTTACAGTTCTGCCGCTTTGGCCTCCTCTCTCAGAAATTGTGATTCAGTGGGGTTGGGGCCAAGATATGTTTTTAAAGAAAGCTCTACAGGCTGTCAGTCCAACTGTGCACTTGAAAGAGTCAGCAGACTGGGTGCTCTCTAAGGTACTTTACAATGAAGAACTCGTATAATTGATCTGTGACCCTGGGACTTTATATAATCTAAAAAAGGCGGAGAGGAAAACAACATGTTCTTCACTCCCTAATCTCCCTATGACCTCGCTGTTGAAATGCCAGTGAACCCCACAGGGCTACCATATGTGGTTGTGTAGAATGTGTCCTGTAAAATTCCAGTAAGCACCGTTCACCTCCACCAGGATTTCTCAGTCCTGGGTCTGAGATAATGAGGTCAGACAGTTCTTTTTGGGGGGAGGAGCCGTTCTCTACATTGCCGTTTTCAGCATTCTCTGGCCTCTCTTAACTGGAAGCCAGAGACATTGCCAAAGACCCCTTAGTGGCAAACTGCTGGCCCACACAGTAATAGAAACAGTGCCCTCTGCGTTGCATCTGCTTCTCCCATGTGTTCTTCACCACTTGCTACTAAAGTAGAATGCATGTAAAGATTTCACTGTTGCAGGCAGAGAATGTGTAACTCAGCCTATTTCACTCCCGTCCCCTTACCAGTGTCGGGATATTGAATCACTGCGTTTATTGCCTTCTGTATAATCCAATCTGTAAGGCCCCTTGTATGAATTCATTAGCTTTCCTAAAACATCTATTGAGTACCTACCATGTAGTACAGATACTGCAGATGAAGGATTAATAGTTAACTGTATAAAGGGAACCACAAGAGATCAGAAGTGAAATAGGGAAAGATGGAATGAGCAGGGTCCATATTGAAGAACTGTGTATTCTAATATGTTTTTAATTTTATCTTTGCTAAAAAATACTTAAGTCTGTGTATGCCGAAGTATCTAAGGCTGAAACTTGGTTTGGAAGACATGTTGTGACTTCAAAAATGAATATTCTAGATAGTGTAATGCTTTTGTATTGTTAAAATCTGTTGACAATCAGACATCTGTAAGTGTGGATACTGATTCTGTAAATACAAATGAATATGTTTATCATTGGATTCAGCTGATGGATAACCAGGTTTAAAGAGCTGTGAATTCTGAAATGATAGTTGAGAAAAAGCTTTGTTTGTAATGTTTAAAATTCAGTTCTACAATTAACATTTCTTTTTTATTGCGTGTCTTTTTTTTTTAAGTCTTGTGAAAATGCCATTGTATGCTGGAAACCTGGCAAAATGGAAGATGATATAGATAAAATTAAACCCAGTGAGTCTAATGTGACTATTCTTGGGCGATTTGATTACAGCCAGTGTGACATTTGGTACATGAGGTTTTCTATGGATTTCTGGCAAAAGGTAGCAACATATTTTACATTTTGAAATTATTTGACTTAAAACCATGCAATTTAAGTTTTCTCTGAGTGTATCTGTTCTGTTTCCTCTTAAGTGTAATCTACCTTGATTTTTTTGTATTATTTGCTTTGGCCTTTGATGTTATTTATTCTGCCCTTGTGACTCTGCACACCATCTGCAGTGCTTATTATAGGTGAAATTGACAGGTGTCAATGGTGGCAGTTAGGTGTTTACTTTCCATAACATCCGTTACTAAGATTTAATGTTTTGGTGATTAGAATGTTCTTATATAGAAAACCAACATGGAAGATAAAGACAAAATATTAGTTATCTAAAGTTTTACAGAAGTTTGGTATTAGAATTTTATGGTAACAAATTACTTGGTTATTTCTTTCTATATGAAAGCTTTGGAAATTTTCTGTGGCTTTTATTACAGTTCTTTAAGGCAGAATGAAGAATACATGCTAATTGTGTACATTGTATAGTTCTTCAAAAATTTGCAAAATGGCTTAATTTATTCAGGACACCTTTGTGAAGCATTAGTTGCTCTTATTGTCATTTACAAATCAGAAATATAAGATGCAAAGAAATAACCAAGAGCATTGCCATAGGGTGGAGCTGAGGTTTTTTTGCAATAAGAAAGATATCTTAGGATTGCTTGAAATCTTTATAGCTTATATTAATAATTTGATGGTTTTTTGTTTTGTTTTTGATGGGTTTTTAAAATATATTTATACAGATGCTTGCATTGGGCAATCAGGTTGGCAAACTTTATGTTTGGGATTTAGAAGTAGAAGATCCTCATAAAGCCAAGTAAGTATTTAGAAATTCCTCTTCATAATTTCTGACTTTTCCTCCAGAGTGTTGTCACTATAGAGTAAGTAATTGATACTTACAATGCCATCCTTAACATCATTTGTAACATTTACATTCTCAGCATATTGTAAAGTATTTCTTTTTTGTTCTAATAATAATTGTTTTTCCTGAGTACTTTGGTAGTAAGTTATTTCTCTTTTTTTTGTATAAGGTATATGGTGCCTCTTTGATTTAAAATACACCCAAAATTTATGAAATTTGAGATTAGGCTCTTAGTGAAGTATTTTCTGGTTTCAAGTGCTTTCTGTATGTATGACTTAGAACATCTATTCATTTTCTAATTCAGTGTTTTTAAGTTTGATACTGACAGCATTATATGTGTGTGGTGTTTAACCTGTTGTCATGTTTTCTCCCTAGATGCACAACGCTGACTCATCACAAATGCGGGGCTGCTATTCGACAAACCAGTTTCAGCAGGGACAGCAGCATTCTTATAGCTGTTTGTGATGATGCCAGCATTTGGCGCTGGGACCGACTGCGATAAAGTACTTTTCCCGATCAAAAGTAGCGTGTGTTTCCTGTGTACCGTAGAACTAATGTATCCTGCTATAAGGGCACATAGCGCATTTAGAGTTGTCTTCAGCACTCATCAGGCTGAGCTGAATGTAGTGATGTTTACATTGTTCACACTCTTTGTACTGTCTCCTGCCCAGACTCTACTGCTTCTAATAAAAATTTATTTTTGTAAAGCTGCGTGTTACTTTAGTTTGTTTTGTTCATTGTGATGCAATGTTGAAAGTAATAAAATTAGACCTTATCTTTTTTCAGTGATGATTATTGTTTTATTTGCCTAATGGAAAAAGCTATAAAACATAGTGATTAAGTATAAGCTCTGGAACTAAACTGAATTTTAATCTTGGCTCTGCCATTAACTGACCTTGGATAATGAAAAAGGATCATGTGATTTAATACATGTGAACCAATTTGAACAGAATTTGACTCACCAGACCCTTACCGTTATTGGAAATTGTATTTCCTATCGTTATATATTTCTTAATGATTTCTTCTATACTAACTGTAATAAGCAAAGTCTATAAGAGTTATATAATGTTTTATCTTTGCAGTTAGAAAACATTGCCATATGATTTACAACTTGGTCATTAATAATCTTAGTGGAAATATCAGAGCACGGGAGGAGAGGACACAGAAGCTTAAGTGCAGTGGGTTGAAAAATGAAGGAAATGGAGAGTGTGTTTGTATAGTGAGTTCTTGTCCCTTTTTCTAGAAGAGGAATTAAAACTTACAAGCAAATTGAGGATATCATAGGGTTGAAATACTTAGTGATTTTGTCCAAAACATAGGGTACTTTGGTTATATTTATGGAAAAGAATAGAATTAAAATATAAAACAAGAGTAGAATTAAAATATAAAGACTAGAAAAATCCTCCAAAGAGGACCAAGATGACATACGGAGCATTTAACCAGAAGCAGAAGAAAACCTGAGCAATCATACAGATAAGGTAGAAGGTGAGATGAAGGGAAACAGGGTAAAATACAAAAGACTGAACCAGCCCAGTACAGAAGTACTGTACAGTCCAGTACAGAAGTCTGTCTGCATCTCTGATTATTTCCTTAGGCTCATTTGTCAGAATTAATAGGTGAAAGGGCATTTTTGTTAAGGAACCAAATTCATGTGCTCCAACAGCATAGGTTAGTGCTACCTGAGGTTTTTGTTTTTAGTTCCTTTGTACATCTCTGTAGATGAGAGGTCAGCTAACTTTTTTCTGACCTCTGTAACAGCCAGATGGTAAATGTTTTAGTACAGTCTCCCTGACGTGTACTCAGCTCTGCTGCTGTAGCGTGAATGCAGCTTTAGACATTACATAAACGAATGAGCCTGGCTGGTGCCAGAAACACTAGTTACAGAAACCGGCAGTGGGCCATATTCAGCTTACAAGCCATTCATTGTTGCGGATGTTAGCGGTTAAAACAAGAAACCTCAACGAGGCCCCTAAGGTTGCTAAAAATTTAGGTTAACTAGCTTACAATCAAAGATCACCAGATAGAAAATGAAGCAAGCCTCTGTGACTGAGACCACTAAAGATTTCAGAGTTACCAGAATACAAAATCACATTTAAAATCAAATTTTGTGTTCTCTTCCTTATTTTCCGTCAGTTCTCACCTAATAGACTGCATGATTTACCTACTTGGTTTGTTGTATTTCTCCCACCAGGATGTAGGCTTTCTGAGAGTAGATGGATTTTTTTTCCTTTTGTTTCATTTCACTGGTATAACTACAGTATTTGTAACTTGCACTTGGTGGGCGCTCAATAAATATTTGTTAAATGAATGAACACTTAAGAGACTCCCAAGATGGACGGAGAGGAACTGAAAAGTAGAATTTTCTGAAATGAAGAGTGTGATTATTGAGATAAATTCAGTGGATGGGTTAGAGAGTAGATTAGACACAACTTGGGCTTCCCTGGGAGCTCAGACGGTAAAGCGTCTGTCCGCAATGTGGGAGACCCAGGTTCGGTCCCTGGGTCGGGAAGATCCCCTGGAGAAGGAAATGGCAACCCACTCCAGTATTCTTGCCTGGAAAATCCCATGCACTGAGGAGCCTGGTGGGCTACAGTCCACGGGGTCACGAAGAGTCGGACATGACTGAGTGACTTCACCTTCACCTTCTAGACACAACTTGAATAGAGATTAATGAACTGAAAGCCTGATTACTTAGAATATGGTGTACCTAGGGAATCAAAATGGGGAATACAGGGTTAAAAATATAGAGGATAAAATTAAAAGATCTAATGATACTTTTAACTGGAGATCCAGAAAAAAAATGAAGGATAAGTAAAAATTTGAAATGATTCTTTTACTTGGTTCCATGATATCTAAGTGCCACGTGGGCACGTATCTTAGAAAAGGAGAGCACTGTTGGTCCCGGCATCTTCCATACCATCATGTCTCCTGCTTCCACTGCAGTCATAGCCACTAACGTGTCATCTGCTAAAGTTTCTACCAGCCCTAGAACTTCACCCCCATCTGTATCCATATCCGGAGAAAAGGCTTCCACAGTTAATTTCAAGCTGGACAAGCGGCCAACTGCCGCCGTATCCCTACTGTAGCTTTTTTGTGGTGAGGCAAGTTGCTCACTAGGACAGGTGAACCTTCTACAGCATAATTTGAAGGGCAAGACGAAGTCCCTGTGTGGTTTTGTTTCTTGAACAACGGGATCCAAGGACTGGCATTCCTACACTATGCGTCTACCCAGGGCTTGATGCTTGACCTAAACTCCCTCTTGTCATTCACCTCAGGTAGTCCAGTAGTAGGAAAAGCCACAAATTCTAGCTTTAATTCCACATCGTGGAGCCTATTTTCTTGCTCAATTACAACTACACTTCCAATAGCAAGGGAAGGTGCACATTTGGCTTGCCTGGACCTCCAGTCCAAAAAGGAACAAGAAACCCTCTTCAGCGGTGGTGGTAAGCACTGACACGCTCGGTGCAGGCCAACATTTTGCTCACTGCCCCGAGGGAGCCAAGGTCCTGACATGCGTGGTAAGGGACGCATGATTCTTCTCTATGGAGATCAGGACGAAGTCTTCCCCGAGCTTTGAAAAGAAATGTGGAATAATCCAAGAGGGACAGCATGCTATTGATCTTGTTTCTAGTCCTGAAGGCAGGGTCAGCTACATAATTGGCAGAGCCTAGTGCGGAATGAAAATGCAAGCCTCTTGTTTAAGCTGCAGAAAAAAATGTAAGATGCTGAAATTCTAAGCTTTTCCTTTGCTTCTGTGATTCCTTAACTTGTATTTTTTAAATTTTCAATGCCACTCCAAGTTAAACTTCTGTCAACACAAATTTTATCATTCATCATAGTATATAGCAACAGTTTTAAGTGCAAACAAAAACATTTAACCCCTTTGTGGAATCATTGAAATTACATAATTGGTATTTTGTACCTCATGCATTCACATGTATTTACTAGTACAGTGGGAATGTTGGGCAAAAGTAACTCAGCGTTTTATTTCACTTCTTGGTACAACATGTTCTACCAACATTCCCTGTGTTTGACGTACTGATGTGTAAGGACAAACCGAAAGGAAAATAAACTATTGATTGCCCTATCTTTCCATTTTCTTCGATGTCATAAACTTTGGTGTAAGTAGTTGGCCAATAAGGGCTTCCCAGGTGGTGCCGCGGTAAAGCATCTGCCTGATAATGCAGGAGATTCAAGAGAGTCTTGAGTCTCTATTGAGTTGCAGGTGCAACCCTTCAGTCAGGAAGATCCCCTGAAGAAGGAAATGGCAACCCATTCCTGTATTCTTGCCTGGAAAATTCCATGGACAGAGGAACCTGGAGGGCTACAGTTCACGGGGTTGTAAAGAGTCAGATGCGACTGAGCACACAGTTGGCTAATATGGGTAAGTGACAAGCAAGAATAGGGTTTCTTGGTTGGTTGACTTTCCTAAAATGTAACTTCTTTGTTGAAAACAGATGTCAAGATGGGACAACAGAACATTAAGCCAAGCATCTTTCTGCTCTCAGTGCTCTGCATGACTGCACCGGTCACACGCCCGTGAAGCTGTCCCTGCTGGGGGCTGACCTAAAATCCCATGCCTCTTTCCCAGCAGCTCCATGTGGTACTGACACCTCTGTTGACAGGTTCTCATTTCTTTTTTTTTTTTCAATTATTTCTATTAGTTGGAGGCTAATTATTTTACAATATTGTAGTGGTTTTTGCCATACACTGACATGAATCAACCATGGATTTACATGTGTTCCCCATCCTGAACCCCTTATAAACTATTTAGTCTTGTTAACCAGTCTCTTTCTGTTGGTGTCCTTGGTCCATTTAAATAAAATGAATAGGACAGTTATCCATGTCTCCGTGGTCCCACATTTGCCCCAAAGAAAAACAATTGTGTTTCTTTTAGCAGTAGGAAATAGGGGAGAAGTTGAAAACCATACTGTACTCTGTGGGGAGCGGACCAGAGTCCCAAGAAACAGGTTAAGAAGGACTAAAATATGGCATTAGGTGTATCATCCCACTACAGAAATTAAATGATTATAAAGGTTTTTTTTTTCTTTTTTAAGCAAATGCCTGAGAAGGTCAGAGGTCTAAAGAATTAATGGCCACCTTGTCCAAACATGCTTAAAGAATTAAAGTGCTCACTTGAGGCAAAGGGGACAGTCATTCTGCTTAATTTCATGTTCAAACTAGGATGAGGTAATCTAGGTGGTAATTTTTAAACTTAAAAAAAATGCTACCCATAGTAAGAGATAGACTATATATAGTATATCCCAACCACACACACATAGTAAGTTCCATGAGTCAATCACACAGAAGTTCCGTTAAACGATACACTTTACATGTATGATATATCCTGAAATTTTTTTTTTCTTGTAATTTTGTTGAGACTCACTACATTGATTTCACAGCTCGATAATGGATCTCAGTCCACAGTTGGAAACACACTGATCTAGAGGAAATGAGTCTAGATGGCTTTTGCCCAGGAGACTGGGAGCAGGACCCACATTTTACAAGCAACAGTAAAAAAAATGCTACATGGTCTCTTTAACCACTGAACGTGTCTCTAACCCTGTAAAGTTTGTAACTTCCCCTCCTTTCATTTATCACCTGTGGGTTTCCCCTGTTGTGATTTGCAGAAGATGACTATCATTTTGGAATTGAGCTGGTGGATTTCTGAAGAGATTCTTGGTATTTTGTGGTTATTTTCTGATGT